TAGTATAGTAGTAGTATATATTAAGTAATAGTATATAGTATTTATAATTTTTAAGTTTGCAGTCATTAAATAACTACTTTTAGGGCTATATTTACTAATAATAAATTTTGAGATTCCCTTAAAATGATTTTATTATTTTAGCTGCGAGCAAATATATGCTTCTTGATAAGAATGAGATTCAGCTTTGCTGATGACATTCATATGACTGACGAAAAGTTCAATCCACTTCTCATTGAACTGAAGGAAGTTGTATCGAGCACTGTCTCCATGCGAATATCATGTGGACATCAAACGGCATGCAAACAGGAAACAGCCCTAATCTTCCGACGAATCACTACTCAACACTCTAAAACGGAATGTCAACACTGATTGAATAAATCTCTACATTCTGACCAGTTGTGAAAGACACTTGCTTGCGTAAAAGGTGGTAGTGACACAAAGCTTCTTTTTTTATGGCCGTGTTGACGATTGGTTGACGCATTTTTCTGTCACCATGCTTGACCCTCGGTTCAGTCTCGACAGTTGTGTGGATGAGACAAGGTTGCGATCGGATTGGTCATTCTTCCATTTGGGAAAAGCATATTCGCGAGTGAGGCTCAAGTGGATCCCGATGCCATTTCATGCCTACTTTTGAACCCATTCTACCAGCTCTAGTTGGCCGTAAAAAAATAAGGAATGAGACAAGTTATAAAAAAAATGCAGAACCTCCATTTTCTCCTTTATTCACAGTAGACTGTGTGCTGTCTAGACTATCCGATCCCACCAGAAGACGACGTCATCTTCCTCTTGACCAGCTTTTCAAATGATTTTACTTCAGCATTTCTGTTGACGTTGTTTCCGAGGCAATCTCCTTTGATTCCAGTCAAAACGTGCAAAGCTTTCGTTCATTGTATGACGGAAATTATCAGAGCATGGTATCATCGTTGCAACCATATGAGTCAATTCAACTCACCGGTTCACGCCTAAATGCTGCATATATATATTCTTTAGCTGCACATGAAGACATATAGGCACACAATATAGGACACACCCACATGTTTCGAGATTGGTATATGATATGAACCCACAAATCCCATTATACCTCATCAAAAAGCATAGATATAGTATATATATATATATATATATGCATCTATGTCTGTCTGTCTGTATGTATGTATGCTTGTTTGCATGTATATATACAGCATTTATGGATGACCCGGTGAATTTTCATTGTTTGTCAACCTGAATATGGTCCTGTGAATGATGCCCTGTTGTGATGAAGTCAGCCAATGACGTAAAAAGCTGAGCATGCTTCACCGGAATCGAGGGAAATAGCCTCGGAAACAGCCTCAGCAAAGATAATTGAGTGAAGCCAACAAACAGCTGACCAGGAGTTGTCTTCGCGTAGAATCGACCTTCGAATCCCTTCATTCGAAATACAGATGAGCCCAACAATTATTCAGGATCTACCTAACTACTCATCACAGGTATGAGTAGTGCTATTGATTTAATGACCAGTTTGTTTGACAATTTCACCATAAATCGGATAATTGGAAGGGTCATGGATGACTCTTAAAGTGAAGAAGAGGTTATATCATGCTACACTTTGAGACCACTTGCTCATGCTAGTAAAGCTATATGACGTAGCCGAGGTGTAAAGACCTTTTGGGGGGCCAAGGTAAATTCACCGATGTAGAGGAAAAATTATTGTAGCCCTATCGTTTCAAGCGACCCATTGTTGACAAAGTTTTTATGTGAAGCTTTTAGCACTCTTTTTGGTTGATAGACAGTTAGGAATCGGCTAAGTTCGTTCTGCGGGAAAAAGTTAATTGAAAAACTTGCAATTGTACCAAGTCACAGCTATTTGATCGCGGAAACTAGCACGACTACAATGGCGGGTATATATTACAACATAGCATAAAATTGTATAGTATAGTTTGGTATATTATAGAATGGTATAGTACAGTCTGAGGTATTAAGGCATAGTGAGCAGATTTTCGAGAGTTGTGTTCACACTATATGTATATATGAATACATCTCATATTACTGATTTACTGGCAGTCACAATATTGTTGGGATTACTTCCATTTCGAGTAGAAGTGTTGGGTGAAGAGATTCGAAGGTCGGTTCCAC